TATATTAATTTCACCTTTTGAGTTGCATTACTGAAATAAATGAACTTTTGCACGATATTCTAATTTTTTCAGTTTCACCTGTATAGGATAGAAGGAAGGAAAGGAAGGGAAGGGAAGGAAGGAAGGAAGGAAATTTTCTGATGTTCCCTATCAGCTGGGAGGTAGGAAATGTTGCGGGGCCCTCTCCTAAGAAAGTACATCTGATGTGACCCAGAAGTAGGGCTTTTTCTGTGGGGAGTCCCTTCCTTTGGAACTGGCCCCCACTTTGACACTCTTTTGCAAGGCCTGGTTTTGCCAATGGGCCTGCGGAACCCAGAGCGGGCTGGATTCCATCAAGTGGCTTGTTTGCTTGTTGTTGGGGAGGGAGGATGTTACTTTTTTTAACTCTTTGTATTTTGGTTTTTCATTTTTCGTAAGCCTTCTAGAATTACCAAAAGTGAGTGGGCAGCAATATAAATTATCTAAATAAATAAATTGCACAAATTGAAACAAGTTACAAGCTCTTGAAATGACAGGTTCCTAGAATTTTGCAGTGCATTTCTTACATATGTGTTTGTGTGTGTGTGTGTTTGTGTACACATATATACACAAACACACACATATACATACATACACATAAACACATACACACAAATACAGCTATATATGTTAGAGGATAAAAATAGCACTGTATTGAAGAAAATTTCTTACAAAACAAAATTATACAAATTGCAGACAAGAATCTGCATGTTAGAAGAAATTTATACAAAAATGCATATGAATCTTAATACAATATTTAAAATATATTATAAAAAGAATATGGAAATAGATGTACTTAAGCTTTAAAATTGTAGAAACTCAGAGAGTAACCTTCTCATTTAAAGATGGGAATACAGAATTTCTATTCCCAATATTTTTGTATCTAATCCTTTAAAGCCAATCTTACATACATTTTGAAAATAAAAATTAGTAACATTAATGAGCTGTACATGTGATGTACACACGTGGTAAGCGATTTCTAATCTTTGTATTCTTTCCTCCTCCTCCTAATCTCAATCTTGGTTTTCTTCCCCATTCTTTCCACCCCAAAGGAATGTTGGAAAGAAGTTCTGTCAAGGAAGTCAGGTCCCGATTTGTCTGCTGTCCCTCCTTTCCCAGCAGGGTAACTCTGAAAATAAATAAAAAAATAGGGTCAAAATTGATATGAAAGAAGTCAGTAAAGCAAAGGTCAGGTTTCAAAGTTGGTTTAAGATTGTGTAAATATTCATTTTGGAAAAAAAAATCTCTCTATTCCGGGGGTATCAAACTCACTGTGTCACAGCAGCGTCACATGATGTATTGGGACTTTCCCCTCCCTTCGCTAGACCGGATCACCATTTGTGATCTCCACTGCCAGCTTCTGACAAGTGAAGTCAGTGGGAAAACTGGCAGGAAGTTGCAATTCAGTATCAGAGTATATGACATCACACTTAACATTAATTGCAGTCATTCACTTAATGATACAGCTAGAACTGATAAACTGCCATCATAAACGGGACATGGTCACATAATTTTTCACTTTATCACTCTATCACTTAGCAATGGAGTTGCTAGCCCCAGTTAGAATAGAAAACAACAGAGACAAATGCAATTTTTATTTATTAAACCAATTTATATAGCCTCTGACCTCACAAACAATTGAATTGTGTTGTTTCAATATACAGAAGAAAATGTATATGCCTTTGATGTCCATTGCTTGTAAAGTGGCTGGAAACAAATCCTGAAGCAATGGTTTTCTTTCTTTCCCTACCTCATTATTATTTTTTCCAACACAAGAGAATGTTGGAGGAAAAAAAATACAGGAAAGGGTCAATAGAAAGACCATAAGTAGTTTCTTTAAATATTTATTCTTTCCCTTTTCTTCTTTATTGCACTTTATCTTTTCTCTCTCTCTCAACTTTGCTTTCTATATTTTCCATTTTTTATGTTTTTTAAATCTAATAAAATTATATTAAAAATATTAGAATTAATAAAGTCTAAAGTCTAAATTGTAATGAAGTAAACAATTTGACAATATCACATGCCATTCTGCCTTAGAGAACTTACTTTATAATGCAATATGTCAAAAACCCCGTTATTTCTTTTTGATCTTCAAAAAGGTCAAAATTCATTTACCCATCATTTGAAGAAAAAATATTTTCAGAAACGATCTTTCCCCTGCTTACCTTATTTCCCAGAGCATCAATATTTGATCCTTTTCAGGTTTCAATAAATCTCATACTGAGTCCAGTGAACTTTACACATTGAGGTAACTTTTGGTGAGATGTAGCCTGAACTGTCTCTTTGGCTTGCAGTCCTGATTATATGGTCAAACGCTGCGGAGCAAGGGGAAGATAGCAGCCATACCCAAAAGAAAAAAGCCTTTTGGTAACCTGATGAAGAAATCACTGCATTTCTTCCTGGAACAGATTCTATATTTTCTTCGGGATATATAAAGCATATGGGATTATCTATGACAACTTCCACAACCAGCTGCCCTCCAGATGGAACACCTGGAATTTTAACAAGGACTGGTCAAATGGAAGGATAACTCTAGGCAGTCTAATAAAGAATATTTGTAGCTTATTGTAGCAATAGTTGTTGACATGAAGGGTCCTTGGTGCTCTCTGAGGCGGCTTGTTTTTTTGCAGATGTTTCATTATCCAAACTAGGTAACATCATTAATGCTAGTGAAATGTTTTCCAGAAAACAAGTAAAGTCAGAAAGCATCAAGGATCTCTGGGTAGTCTAAAAGGTGATTGTTCAAAAGACAATTGAACTGTTGGGGTTTTTTTTTGCCTTGAGAAAGAAGACTTTTAATTTCTCATCGAAGACGCTTCATCAGTTCCGGCAGGATGGTGGAGGCTATGGAGGGATTAGTTCTGAAAAGATGGGGGCGGGGAGGTTGTAACGATTCTATCAGAACTAATCTCTCCATAGCCCCCACCATCCTGCCGGAATCGATGAAGCTTCTTGGATTAGAAACAAAATGTCTTCTTTTTCTTCCTCAAGGAAAAAAGCAGCCCAGTTGACGCTGTCCGTACTCCGATTGGACTGAATCTGATTACTAATTAATTAATGTGTTATATAACCCATGCTTGTGAGTGGAACCACCCAGTTTCCGGCGAAGAAAGGAAGACAGACTCAACATGTTATCCAAACAACAACTTTAGTAGATTAAGAGAAGTGTAACGTACAAAGTACAGTCAATCAACACAATAATACTCCCCAAATTATAGACACGAGAATGGAACAGTTGCCCTAAAGGATGGGACTGGATGCGATCTCCATCTTATGAAGCGTATCAGGTAGGTACCTGTTGGGAGTATACTCCTTGTGTTGGGTAGGCAATATATATCTTTATACAACAACAAATGGTCGTTGTTGCTTTAAATGAGTGGATGTACTTATCAGTTGTAATTAACTTTACTGTAAGAAGGAGTCAAGAGAGCTCACTCTCTCTTTGCTTTGACAACTAAGATTTTAGATGACAACTAAGATTTTAACATGGAATGTCAACGGACTAAATTCTCCACAGAAGAGGAAGAAAATATTTCATTATCTCAAATAGTTTAAGAACGATGTAATTTGTTTGCAAGAAACTCATATCAAGTCAACTGATCAAAAATATTTGATCAACTCAAAACTTGGTCAACATTTTGCAGCTTCTGCTATGGAAAAGAAGAATGGTATAGTTGTATACTTAAGAAAAGATATGAAAGCTGAATTAATAGAAGCAGATCCCTTTGGAAGATATATTGCTTTAGACTTAATCTTAGAAGGGAAAAAGACATTACTTTTGGGAATTTATGCTCCCAATCAACAGCAAGATAGATTCTATAGAAATCTTCATGCTAAATTAGTACAGTGGGACTATAGTTCCTGTATACTATTGGGTGACTGGAATGGAGTGATAGACACTAAGAGAGATAAGAAGATTTCCCGCCTAAATACTAAGATGCGAGCAAAGTTACCCAAATCTTTCTTTGACATTATGGATGATTTTGAATTGAGAGATATTTGGCGAGAAAGAAATGCAGAGGAATATGACTTCACTTTCTGCTTGTCCTATGCTTGATGACTGGAATGTGAACTGCGATTGTTTGTTCTTTGAATTGTGTTTGGACTAATATCTACTATCTACTATCACTGCTTGTGAAGCAATTATCAGTAGTAAAGCTACTTGTTTTTACTAGCAGTGTCTGAAACTCTATCCGTGTGTTTCTACTAGCAACATTCTTTCTCTCTAGCTGTACATTCCGCTGCACTACTTTCTGTCTCCCAACGGAGATACCCCTAACACTCTTTCTCAATCAGGGTGGAAATAGCATCCATGCATGGGACATACCCAAGCTTGGCTGTCCTCAAGGGCGGAGAGGTGACCATCCCAGTTGTGTTCTGTCAGCCTGAACTGCCTGCAGGACCCTGCGGCCAAACACCACATCAGCCGATGCAAACTTGCCTAACTTATAATTCCTAATGAACGGTGAGAGGGACACCCACCGCAGCCCTGCAGATTTCATCCAGAGAAGCCTGCGTAGCCCACGCCACAGTGGTGGCGCTCCTCGTAGAATGGGCTGTTATACCCTCTGGGGCCCTCTCCTCATGGAACCCATAAGCTGCAGCTATGCCACAACTAACCCATCTACCAATGACTGTTGCGGAGACCTTCCTGCCTAAGGATGAGGGTTGAAAAGAAATAAAGACCGCCCCTGATTGCCTAATCTTTGACGTGCGGTTGATATATATCTTAAGTGCACGATGCACGTCGAGGTTGTGCCATTATCTCTCCAGCTGGTGAGTTGGGGTGGGGCAGAAATTAGGAAGCACCACTTCCTGGGCTCGATGGAACCATGACCCCATTTTCAGCACAAATGATGGGTTGAGCCTGAGGACTACCCTATCCATGTGGAATTTGCATAGGTCCTCCTGGACCAAAAGGTTCTGATAGCCTCCTGGTGGATGTTATTGCCACCAAGAAGGCAATCTTCCAGGTAAGGAACTGGACGGAGATTTCCCGCAGGGGCTTGAATGGTGGTTTGATGAGAGCCCCAAGCACCTTGGCGAGGTTCCAAGTTGGATACCGCTGCACAGCCGGCGTCCTCAGGTTAGTAGCCCCTTTTCAGAACCGTTTCACAGCCTATCCACCACACATGTAAATATGGTACCCGCCACCTGTCTCCTAATGGTGTTAGGTGATAACCCCCTATCGGGCCCTTCCTGCAGAAATTCCAGGACCTGAAGAATGGTGGAGTCCGTTGGTGTAACCTGTTTGCCCAAGCACCACTTACAAAAGATTTTCCAGGTGGCATTATAAATATGGACCGTCGAGGGCCTCCTGGAGGCCTGTATTGTGTTAATGATCCTGGCAGAGAATTCCTCCCCCCCACTTAGAGTGAGCTACTCAACCGCCAGCTGAAGCTACTGGGGCTCCGGGTGTTTCAGTGAGCCCTGGCTGAGGGCATTCTTGTCCAGTGGAATCCTCCAGGGCCTCTCCACCAACATCTGAAGGTCGGCAAACCACGGCCGCCTTGGCCAGTAAGGGGCCAGAAGGATGATCTCTGCCCTGACATTGATGATCTTACAGATAACCCTGGGGAGGAGAGACACTGGAGGGAAGGCATAGAGGAGATCCCTGGGCCAGGGCTATTGAGCCAGTCAGCTCTAATGTTAGCCTCCCCTGAAATGTGCTCAGCTACGATAGACAAGAGGTTGCTCTCTGCTCATGTTCCCAGGACACTAGCCTCTAGCATGAGATCCCTAGATCTGGTGCCCCCCTGCCTGTTTACATGGGCCTTGGCTGTGATGTTGTCCGATAGGACCAGCACATGTTGACCAATGATGTGTTGCTGAAAGCTCAGAAGTGCCAATATAATGGCCATGAGCTCCAACCAGTTAATGCTCCTATTGGCCTCCTCCTGGATCCACTGACCCTGCGTCATATGTGACACTATGTGGGCTCCCCAACCGTATAGGCTGGCATCTGTGGTGATGGTGATCCTACCCATCACCCTAAAATGACACCCCTTCTCTATAGCTGAGACTGCCACCAACAGAGGGACTGCCAAACCTCCCCAGGCAGATTTACTCGCACCAGAGAGGTGCTATTCCTCTTCTTCTGGAAGGGGAGTAGAAACCATTGTAAGTCTT